GTTTTTCTGTGTTGGAGCCCTGACTTCAGTTCAGGAGACAAGGCATGAGGTGAGGAGGAGGGGCAGAAGACAGAGGCCAGTGGTGAAGTCATGTAGGTTGAGAGTTAGGCATTTGTCATCTTTAAATTTAAAAAGTACGTATCTGGCTAGTCTCCAGTGACATACAGACGTCCAACCTGACCGCTGGATTCAAGGTGGCGGGCCAACATAGCCTGTGCTCCAACATTGCTCCTATGAACTCTTAATGGATAAACGTTTTTAAGAACACATCAATTTGTTAGGAAATATTATTGCACACTAATCAATGTATATTTATGAGTGCAGCAATCTTTTTTACTAAAAACATTACTTTCTCTACCTTTTTAAAATTTCTTTAGTTTTTCTGAAAGTGCTCAGTGGTTATTTTATAGTTTGACTTTAGATTTCCATGGAAACACCACCCACAGTGCTATAGTGTTAGCTACACTATGTCACAACTATAGTGCACTGTAACGCTGTTGATGCCATCAGTGACTGTAGCTCACTGGAAAAGGACCAAAGAGGGGGCTGCACAGTGTCTGCTGCCTTTACAGAATGTAAATGCACATAATCAAAGGCGCAACAAACAAACGTGCGTGCTAATGTAGAGCTTGGAGGACGTTGGTTTGTAATCCTTGGGTTGTGGCTGTTGGTGGTTTCAGGTGCGAGACGTGGAAGTGAAGGACCTGAAGGCACGTGTGAGGCTGGTGCTGCCTCTGCAGTGTGATACCAGAGGCGTTGAGCTCCATGAAGAGGCCATGACGTCTCTCCTGGAGGCCACTCAGCACAAAGTGCCCCTGCAGGAGCTGCAGGTGGTCTACGAGGAGTCTGGGGACATTGATCAGACTGCCCTTGCCCTTGAGCATGTAAGGTAGGACTTGGAGGCCACAGGGAGATTACATGTTGTTGTTTTGCCCTGACGTATATGTGACATCCTTTCCTTTCATCTGCAGGTTTTTCTATAAACACATCTGGAGGGAGTGGGATGAGGAAGAGGAGGATGATGACTTTGACTACTTTGTCCGCTGTGTGGAACCCCGGATACGACTGTGAGCACTCTAGGATGATCCTATATTAAGAAGTGTTGGTTTGTGC